CCGGACGGGCATGGGAGCCCTGCCCTTGCAATAAACCCTGGAGCTCTTCGCTCTCATGGGCGCAGGCGCGCTCCTGGTGGAATGGGCATGGACTTGAATCGAAACCAGAAAATTCACCGAGAAAATGGGGCTGCCTCACCCATTTTAGGTGGCAAGGGTGTCCTTTTGCTTTCCCTTTTGAGCCAGCAAAAGGGAAAAAAGGGAGTTCCCCCCCCCTCAAAAAAATGGTGTTGTAGAAATCCGGGGATGTGCCGGGGAATCAAGGGGCTCTCTTTTTTGGAGTAGTCGATTCAGGGAAGCCCCTCAGACACATCTAAGCGACCGTCTCAAGGACACTCTCCAGGAAGACTTCTTCCTGGAGAGAATTCCCTGCAGATGGCTTCTTATAGCATGGTTTGTGGCTCTTCTAAAAGGAAAACCGGCATGTTTTTTGCGCTTCCCCCAGTTTTGACACATGTAAGAGACCAACCAGACACCATTGGCCATTCTTCTCAGACTGTTTTTGTTTGCTTTTGGTGTTCTTCTAAGGACTGGGGAAGTTTCAGCAAGCACTGAATTGGCTCAAAACTTGGAATAAGCAGGACAGAAGAGACGAGAGGCGAAGGGTCTCCTCATCTGACCAGTCCGGATCTGCAAGTTGGCTGATCCTGGGCAATCGGAACTGAAAAAGGACGCACTTCCCAACACATAGCAAGTGGGTGCCTGGCCTGCTGCAAGGCTGGAACATCCACATTTAGCCAGGACTGGGTGTCCATCGTCAAAAGCTTGTATTTCAGGGACTCAAGACCAAGCATCCAAAGCCCGGCTCCAGTAGTCGAATCGATGCTGTGGGGAAGTGGCTCAAGCGTCCATATTGAAGTCCCCTCAGGGTTTATTGGGGTGCTGATTTGTTTGGGTGTGTTCCCTGGCTCTCGGGGGTTTGCGTGGATCTCGCACGGCATCACGCACACGAGGGGCTTGCCTGGATACTCTGGGCTTGCACAAACCGCGCTAAACAGGCGATATCAAACAAAGCCGAGGTTTTCAGGTAGCCCTTGATTGGTAATTTGGGATTTGAAACCCTGGTTGATGTGTAGGGTGAAAGGGAAACCACACCTTCACAACCCCCCTCCACCAAACCAACAATACCAAATAAGGGCTACATACCCCAGGTTTCCTCTGAAACGCATGCGATAGCCTCAATCCATGGGACCCGGCACAGTGCACTCTGCCAGCAGCTCGCACAAGGTCGTGATACAGACCAAGATGATCTGGGTCCCGCGGATAAGGGGATTCCCGAAACGCCTTCCATAAAACGCATGGCCTTGTTTTGGCTCGCACCCCAAAACGACTGGTTTGCCGCTGTTTCACTTTCGAAATAACCCCAAAAGCACCCTCGAAAAGCAAATCCCATGTGTTCATATGCCGCAAGCTCTTGAAAGAGCAAGGCTCCCTCTTTAACCTTACGTCGGGCAAATGTGTCGTGTTTCTCAAGTTGTGAGGAGAGGTTCTGTTTCGGTTCCCTCTCCAGATCTTACTTGCATGAGGGAAAAAGATTGTCAGGAGTAATTGGATCCTCTGCGAGAAACTCAGTGTCCCTCTGGTTGGTTGCTTGGATTGGTGTCCTGAGGTGGGGAAACCTATTCCGCTCAAGTTTCAGGCCTTCGAATCCAAATCCAAACCAAAGGCTTGCCTGATTTAAAAGATGGCACCAACTCCGAACCGATCAGCACCGTTGTTTGGGTTTGCTTTTTGCCCGTTGGGGCCTGAAGGCAATTAAGGGTTACCAAACAAAAATCAGCCTCCCCCTAGGTGGTTTGGAGGTTTGAATGTGTTCTGTGGGTAGCTTCAGCAACCGGCGATCCAGGTGGCCATGAGTCAAAATCCCGTACCCCCAGTGAACATCCCGATCCAACCAGTAAAATAGGTTCTTTTCTGGGTGGTGAATTCACCTACCAACCAAAATGGGATTCAACCACAGCCAGGTGCCTGAAAAAGAGGTTCCACATGCGCAACGAAATCTCGCACATCGCACTGGCCTGCAGGAAGAGCAGAACGTTCTGCGAGCTCACGGCCTCGATGGCTCTGTACATCTGCCTGGCCGAAACCAACGGAGCTGTGCTTTTCCGCCATCTCGTTTGAGTCGGCTGATTTGTTGTGTTGTTTTTAACATATTCCCAGTGGTAGTTTCCCTTAAATCCGCGAGGGCAAACAAAAACACACGAATCAAGCCTTAAGCAAATGGGCGTGTTAACAAAAAAAAACAAGCTGGCGTCAGCCCTTGCGCCCAAGATTTCTGTCAAAATAGTTAAGGCAGCCACAAAAAGTAGTTCATAGCTGGGTGGTGCCTAGACAGGAAACAAAGGAGCCGGTCTCAGCTGGCAAGTAACTCCCGGTGAGTGAATCACATGTCCGACTGAAATGCGTAGTGCCCAACGAAAAGCGGTGAAACCTCCCTAGCGGGAACCCAGGATGAATCAAGCCTGCTTGATTAACAGGGGCCGTCGTATCTTATGTTTAGAAGGGATCCTTTACGTGGGGTTTTCCACCCCAAGAATCCGCCATCTACTTAAATCCAGGTCGACATGTTCAAGCAAACCGTTCAAAGGCCCACCAGCTTGACAGGCCTGGCTCGTCGCTGTTGCCGCACCAGGCTCGGCCTTCAGTCAGAAAGTTCTGTGCCGAAGCTTGGCGACAGAGAGGTCCCTTCAAAAGAATCCGCTGCGCAACTGCGGAGAAAAGGAACCCCTTTCGGGGTTGACCATGTCTATTGAATAATCCATCCAACCAGAAGTGACAGACAAAGAAACACGCCTAATTGAGAGTAGAGGCAAACCCAATTCCAACAAATCCAGCTTGAACCCAGAGACGAATCGGCTAAATAAGACATCAGACACGACGCCCGATTCGAGGCCCCCGGCAGCACCGACAAGTTGTTGAGGCGATGCTGGGAATAGGCGCGCCTGCGCCGTTCGGCGCCAACGAAAAAGGCGGTCCAATCTGATCCCCTTGGTGTCTAACTTGTGGGTCTTGTAGAAACTCCCACTAAACCGCAACCTAAAAGCTTCAGGAACCGGGAACCAAGAAACAGGCTGGTGGTTTCAAGCGTAAAACAGGATTATCTCGCCGAAAACCCGATCATCGAAATTGGGCCCCCGGAGAGAAAATAACCCTGCGTTTTGAAGCGCGAAAAATGCAAAAACAAACTGGGGTTGGCAAAACCAGCATGTTTTGCCGTTCAGGAGTTTTCTCTAAATTGGGTCAACCACCATGTTGATGGGGAATTGAGAAGGGGAAGCCAATCCAACCTGTCCGCCTTTGGGTTTTTGGGTTGTCAGTCATCGTCGGAAGCCTTAGTCACCGGTATGCTGGTCCAGCGAGTAACAATCTGCCAGCGTGATAATCAATTGTTACTCACCATACCAGTATACAAATCATCACTGGCCTCCCCACAATGTAATCAACAAACGGAACATCTTTGATCACCTCCGTCGGTGCTACGGCGGATGCCCCACATACTGCAAGTAGTGCAACAAGGATCCCTAATTTTGCTGTCAAAATACCGCGGATTTGGTACTGTGGATGGACGAAATCCATGGTAAGCCATTGTTTGTGGGGATTTCATCATTCGAGGGTTTCTTACAGGATTTCGTCCATCCACTGTATGCTCGGTCGTGTTGCAATGCTTCTGGTATCAGCTGCTGGGAATGAATGAGCGGTTCGGTCTTGAAGGCTCCCGAGGCCGCCTGAAGTTGCCCACAGCAACGCCCAGGGCGGCGCTGCTGAAACCGTCCTCCATCCACTCGCACCTTGCTGGCCAAGGAAACATGGGTTTCTCATAGGGTTTATGATAGGAAAAGCTCAAATGTGCCAATTGTAAGATGGTAGCCCATGCGAGCCACATGGAACCCCCCACTTACAATCCTCCAGAATGCATAATGGGACCCACCCAATTCATGTCGACGGATTCGTTTGCAGATGGGGAGCCGGATCACTTTTTTGGGGGAAACCCCCCCCTTTAATCCACTAGTTTGACTGTTTTCTGATCCGGAATCCAATCATGGGCTTGGGCGTCCAAGTGGTTGCACGATCAGGTTGTCCAAATCACTCTTGGGGGTGGGAACCGTCTGAAAAACCATTTGGAGGGTACTTTGATCTATGCCGACTTGACTTGCATGGACCAAACAGGTGAGTCATCGAAACCACGTGCTAAAACATGTCTACCCAAAACCAAGTAGAGGAAAACAAAGGTCCCTCTGCTCCAAGCCCCCGAAGCGTCGCCTCTGCCTCAGCTGCTCTGCCGCGTTCTCCAGGCTCGTGTCCCTTTCCCCCTGCGCCATCTTTCGCCAGACCTGGCGGGCTCGAAGCACCGGCCGTCAACCGCCCCCCTAAACCCACGAGCATTCAAATCGTCCATTCCCCAACCCTAAGGTTTTATGAAGCATGTGCAAAAAATGACCCCCTTTTTGGCCCATCATTCAAAAATAACAACAATTTGGCTTCTGACTTCCTGAGTGGATTGGCCAAAAAAGGTTTAAACTTTTTGCTTGCCACGAAAATGATCCGTTCAAACCCATCAAGCTTCAAGTCCAACTCAGAGAGTAAGGCGACGCGGCCGCACCGACCTGGACGTTTCTTTGGTTTCGCCAGCATAGCTCTGGCGCTTCGGTTCACCGACCATCTCTCATGGATGGCGTTGGGTTGAATTCCCGTTGCACTTGGCGAGCGAGCGCCATCCATTAGCGGGTGCGACAGCTGCTTCGACATCGTGTCTTTTTGTTCAGGCTCAGTCTCCTTTTGGGATGTCAAAGGGCAAGCAAAGTACTCCCCAACAACTGCTTTTCCCCCATGTCCAAAATGCCAAGCACTGTCCAAACAGCAGTAGTCAGGGGGTGCTGGCCAATTTTGAGGGGTCCGAGAGAAACTCTGAGATGGTGCCAAAAAACTGTTTGCCCAAACTGGTGGTCGCTTTTAGAAGGATCTGCCTCAAAGGCTCCATGACTTCCTTTCACTTTTGCCAC